GTAAGATTGGTTGATATATTTAATTTGATATATTTTCATGTATATTGTTGTATATATATTTATTTTCTATATAGGTTTCTTCAAAGAATCAATGGTAAGATAGCTGCGGAACCGTACCTCTTAGGTCCTTATAATATATCATAAGGACCTAATTAAGAGCTATGGTTCGGCACCTAATAGTTAGATTGGTTGATTTATTTCATTTTATATATTTTCATGCATATTGTTGTATATATATTTATTTTTTATATAGGTTTCTTCAAAGAATTGATGGTAAGGTAGCTGTGGAACCATAGCTCTAAGGTCTTTATGATATATCATAAGAACCTAATTTAGAGCTATGGTTCCGCACCTAATAGTAAGATTGGTTGATTTATTTCATTTAATATATTTTCCTGTATATTGTTGTATATAAATTTATTTTTTATATAGGTTTCTTCAAAGAATTGATGGTAAGATAGCTGCGGAAACGTAGCTCTTAGGTCTTTATGATATATCATAAGGACCTTTTTAAGAGCTACGGTTCCGCACCTAATAGTAAGATTGATTGATTTATTGCATTATATATATTTTCATGTATATTGTTGTATATATATTTATTTTTTATATAGGTTTCTTCAAAAAATTGATGGTAAGGTAGCTGCTGAACGATAGCTCTTAGGTCTTTATAATATATCATAAGGACCTAATTAAGAGCTACGGTTCCGCACCTAATAGTAAGATCGGTTGATTTATTTCATTTTATATATTTTTATGTATATGGTTGTATATTTTTTTTTTTTTTATATAGGTTTCTTCAAAGAACTGATGGTAAGGTAGCTGCGGAACCATAGCTCTTGGTCTTTATTTTATATCATAAGGACCTAAATAAGAGCTATGGTTCCGCACCTAATAGTAAGATTGATTGATTTATTTCATATTATATATTTTCATGTATATGGTTGTATATATATTTATTTTTTATATAGGTTTCTTCAAAGAATTGACAGTAAGGTAGCAGCGGAACCATAGCTCTTAGGTCATTATAATGTATCATAATGACCTAATTAAGAGCTATCTTTCATCACCTAATAGTAAGATTGGTTGATTTATTTCATTTTATATATTTTCATGTATATTATTGTATATATATTTATTTTTTATATAGGGTTCTTCAAAGAATTGATGGTAAGGTAGCTGCGGAACCATAGCTCTTAGGTCTTTATAATATATCATAAGGACCTAATTAAGAGCTACGATTCTGCACCTAATAGTAAGATCGGTTGATTTATTTCATTTTATATATTTACATGTTTATGGTTGTATATATATTTATTTTTTATATAGGTTTCTTCAAAGAATTGATGGTAAGGTAGCTGCAGAACCGTAGCTCTTATGTCTATATAATATATCATAATGACCTAATTAAGAGCTATGGTTCGACACCTTATAGTAAGATTGTTTGATTTATTGATTTTATATATTGTCATGTATATTGTTGTATATATATTTATTTTTTATATAGATTTCTTCAAAGAATTGATTATAAGGTAGCTGTGGAACCATAGCTCTTAGCTGGTCTTTATATTATATCATAAGGACCTAATTAAGAGCTACTGTTCCGCACTTAATAGTAAGATCTATTGATTTATATCATTTTATATATTTTCATGTATATGGTTGTATATATATTTATTTTTTATATAGGTTTCTTCAAAGAATTGAAGGTAAGGTAGCTGCGTAACCGTAGCTCTTTCGTCTTTTTAATATATCATAAGGACCTTAAATTTAGAGCAATGGTTCCGCACCTAATAGTAAGATTGGTTGATTTATTTCATTTTATATATTTTCATGTATATGGTTGTATATATATTTATTTTTTAGCTAGGTTTCTTCAAAGAATTGATGGTAAGGTAGCTGCGGAACCATAGCTCTTGGGTCTTTATGATATTTTTTGACTATATGAGGACTATCTATGTTCAATAAATATCATAAGGACCAAAGGGCTATGGTTTCGCAGCTTTAAATAATATGGTTGGTTGATCTATTTCATTATATATATTTTCATGTGTATTGTTGTATATATATTTATTTTCTATATAGGTAACTTCAAAGAATTGATGGTAAAGTAGCTGTGAAACCATAGCTCTTAGGTCTTTATGATATTTTTTTACTATTTGAGGACAATCTATGTTCAATAAATATCATAAGGACCTAAGAGCTATGGTTCCGCAGCTATAAATAGTATGGTTGGTTGATCTATTTCATTTTATATATTTTCATGTGTATTGTTGTATGTATATATTTATTTTTTATATAGATTTCTTGAAAGAATTGATGGTAAGGAAGCTGTGTAACCGTTGCTCTTAGGTCTTTATAATATATCATAAGGACTTAATTAAGAGCTACGGTTCCGCACCTAATAGTAAGATCGGTTGATTTATTTCATTTTATATATTTTCATGTAAAACTATATGGTTGTATATATATTTATTTTTTATATTGGTTTCTTCAAAGAATTGATGGTAAGGTAGCTGCGGAACCATAGCTCTTAGGTCTTTATAATATATCATTCGGACCTAATTAAGAGCTACGGTTCCACACCTAATAGTAAGATTGGTTGATTTATTTCATTTTATATATTTTCAAGTATATTGTTGTATATATATTTATATTTTATATAGGTAACTTCAAAGAATTGATGGTAAGGTAGCTGTGAAACCATAGCTCTTAGGTCTTTATGATATTTTTTACCTATTTGAGGACCATCTATGTTCAATAAATATCATAAGGACCTAAGAGCTACGGTTCCGCAGCTAATAGTATGGTTGGTTGATTTATTGCATCTCATATATTTTCATGTATATTGTTGTATATATATTTATTTTTTATACAGGTTACTTCATAGAATTGATGGTAAGGTAGCTGTGGAACTGTAGCTCTTAGGTCCTTGTGATATTTTTTGACTATTTGAGGACCATCTATGTTCAATCAATATCATAAGGATGTAAGAGCTACGGTTCAGCAGCTCAAAGTTAGGTTAGTAGATCTATTTCATTTTATATATTTTCATGTGTATGGTTGTATATATATACTAGTCAACAAAAGAAATGATACAAGGCAACGTATTTTCCATATATAATGAAATTGGATACACTGCACCAAGGTAAATAATTGCCCAATTGGTCTAGTATTTACAAAGTGTTATATTCTTACCAAAATCATTGATTTAAGGGAAATACGTGAATTTTTTGTTGTTGCAATTTTTGTTATTTCAAAAATAGTATTTTCAACCAAAAATTCAAAAATCGATGTTAGAACTTAAAACTTATGCATGGTCTGCTTAAAATTTTGAATGCCTTTGCAGATATCTGAATACTTAATTCTCATCTTCGAAATTAAGTGCTGACTGTCATCATTTTCTGCAAAATAAATTTGACCCCTGTGTTATATAACACGGTAGTTTCTCACTTTCCAATTTGGTCAGATTCTTTTAATCATATGCATTTGCTTTGGATAATTTAACAGTTTTTCCTATTTTATTATATTTTATGATAAATTGGAGTTCAAACTTGTGTATTGTTACTTTTGTTGACTAGTATATTTATATTTCATTTCAGAGTTCACTCACAGATGTTTAATTTGTAATTTTGGAATTTTGCAGATTCAGCTTAGAGAGGATGTTTCAGTCGTCGACCTTGAATATGGCTAACAGACCAGGAAGAGTGTCATATAGATTTCTGTAACTCTATACTCTATACTCTATATATTTTATTTTTATCACAGATGAAGCTAAATCTACTGTAAGCTTTTAAGAGAGCCTGCTTTGATAGAAGTGACAACAATTTTTCAAACATCACTAATCTTTATTATTTGTTTCCATTACAGAGTTCTTACAGAGATATATAGGTTACAATACTGTATTTATTATTTCTGACTGTCTTTATTTGTCCTATGTGTGTAATTGTTTGTCTTTAAGAAATAAAATATGGTATTGACTATTGATTTCAATGGGTTAAAACACACAGAAGAAATCAACATAAATACCTTTATAAAGTATCAACACCATTCTAAGAAAATTCTGCAAATACTAATGGTATGATATTATACACCATTACATGTACATTGGCCAGTTGAATTCTTATCAGGATAATTAAAACAAAAATAATTAAATCAAAGTACTGAAGTACTGAACATCGGATGACCGCAAGTTATTGTGGATGTCACAAGCACTTGTCTCAGAAAAAAAATCACATCTTTATACCTGAAAGTGAGGTTAATGTACAGATGTATTTTTTTTCTGAGACAAGTTTTTGTGTGGAAGATAAATAAATGAAAGGGAATTCAACATCACCGTAATAATATATATTTTATTTTGTTAAATCTTGTGATCAATTTATTTGGCAATCGTCAATGGCAGTCATCAGGGTTTAAGAACATCAGTTGTTCGACCTGTTAGTCAAATGCGTTTTGTTAAAATATACTTTTTCACTCTTTTTGGTCTTTTGGAAATTGTTGTTTGTGCTGTATTTAGACCCCTCTACCACGAAATTGTTTTACATGCACACTTATAAAAATTGCGGTTTTTATCCAACGCAATCATAGGTTTGAACGTTGTTTTCAATTTAGCCTTGTTTATATATATATATGTATTGTAGTGATACAAATTAATATACTCTGGTTTATATTAATATTAATATTTGTATATTACAGTTACATGTATATATAATTTTCATCCATTTGTATATCATTCTATTCTAATTATTAATAGTGCAGTGCAAGTGCATGGTGGACACTCTTCTATAATAATTCGATATTTCTTATAGATTGGATTTGAGTAGGCATTCATATTTTCCCGCAAAACAAGAGAGCAAGGACCAATAACTCTGCATGTATCTGTATATAATCTTCACCTCCTTTATAGGAGATTGCAATCGTTCTTGAGATATTCTTCCGCATGCGTTAATACAATTTTTCTGTAGTCTGCATAGATATTAATAATTTTTACTTACATACATATAAAACATTTTAAAATTAGTAAATTATGTTCTAAAAAAAATATTTGATGAGTATTCATTGAAGAAATGAATATATAGCAAGCGATAAGGAATGTTATTTTGCACTCGATGATGTCTGCGTATTTATCATGTTTATAGATCGGTTAAAAACCCAAAACTAATTTACATAATGGAAATTTAGGCAATAGCAATACACCGGAATGACCTCAAGATCATCCGCTGTAAAAATAACTGTATTAGACATATTATAAATGTTTTTCTCACAGTAGCCATGTGAAGGGTGAGAACATATTTTCCAAGTCAGAAAACTGAAAACTAAAAGTTGTGAAAACATCTAGCTACCCGACTGAGAATTATTTTACCAGTTTAATATTTAAAGATACATGTACTAAGTATATTAACAAGATTTTCTATTAAAATAGCAATAGTAAATCCTGAGGTTGGAATAGAACTTCCAAGGGGAGACAAATTCAATAAACAACAAGATTTGTTAATTCAATGGGAGATAACTCTGTAAAATATGCAAATTTTAATGCAGTTGAAATTCAAATCATTATTCTTTGACTTCCTTTTTTTTTCCATCTTTATATTAATTTTACAAACTTAGGTGTTGATGTTATACTATTGTGAACATGTAGTAAGAAATCAAAACAATATTTAGTAAAGGTTTATGTTGACAGAAATGGATTTATAAAATATATAATAATGTATCCATTTTAATTCCTTTTTAGGTTCTTTCTGTGACATGTTTTTCATGGTGTTGGGAATAAGACTTTGGGGTCTAATACTTCTAAAAGGAAGGTAAGTACCAGAATGTTATTCCAGTTTTGAAGAGAAAAAAAAACATGCATTATAAAATTTCTTTGGAAAATTCTCTCTAGGCTTTTAGTTGGTCAGGTATACTCTCTCATTTATCAGTACCAGTATATAAGTTAATTTTAGGATCTGATGCAATTACATAAAAGTTTGCTGGGTTGCTGGATAGCTGTCTAATCCACATGTTCTCAACATCTATTACACATTTATAGACTACCAGTATTTATATTAAATATATATAAGTATACCAACAATGATCAGTTTAAACAATTTTTGATGATGAGGCATTTTATATTTCAGGTTAACATCACAGTTTGTCCGTAAGGATTGAGGTTGGGAATGGCAATTGGAGCTGACTTTTATGGTAAGAATCAGTACATAGATTTATGAACTATTCAACTTAGAGCATGTCACTAGAATTTTTCATGTTATAAGTGTATGTATAATTTTGAAGGGGGTATCAAGATACAAATAAGGGAAGTCAAAGTTTTGAATTTTGGATATCTTCTGTTTTTTTTATCTAAATTAATCCCACTATATAGAAATTAAGAAATGTAGTATGATTGCCATTGAGACATTAATTAACCAGAAACCACATGACAAGGATGTTAGCAACTATAGATTGCCATTCTATGGTCTTCAACAATGAGAAAAACCTATTCTGTATTGTAAGCTACATAAGGCTCCAACATGGCAAAATGTGAAATAATTCATATGAGAAAACCAATGACTTGATATAGGATAAAACAATAAACAAAACAAAAATATGATAGACAACAAACAACGACTTGTTTTTCATCTTTTTTTGCCAACAAAGACTGGTAGTCTAAAAGTTATGTCCACTAGTCAATTTAAAGCTAGGTAAAGAAATGTTATATGCATCATAATTGTAATGTCCAGTTAATTATTCTTTTGCATTAAATATTGTTTCAATTATTTTTCACATAGTTTTGACAGATATGTTTAAGAATGAATATTTCTTTTTCAGGTAACTTTAACTGTGGCTGCATGAAAATGATTGGGTGACTGTACCAGTAAAGAATGTAATTCAGACAATTTTTGTGTATGTTTGAGAAAATGTTTATAATTTTTTACCAAAAATAAAAATAGTGTAAAGATTCTTCATTTTCAACAAGATTGTAAGTTATAGATAACTTATTTTGAATTTTAAAATTTCTCTTTTTACCATTAAAACCAAAGGATATATTCAGGTAGCTCTACTCATGTCCATTCTTGACAATTTTTTTGTCATGCATATTGATACTGAACTGGTTTTTGTATCACCTTGACAGATTCGAAAAGTGAGACATAGGTATGCTGTTTCTGGCGTCAGCTGCGGCGTCAACAATGTATTAGTTTGTGATTAGGTCTAGTTTATGGTGAACCACTAGTGGTAGGTCAATGATATTTGGTATGCAGTTGAATTAGCATTGGCACATCTCATTACCATGGAGATTATTTGGCCCTGCCCCCTCAGTCATGGTTTATTGACTTTGAAACTTTGCTTAGTTTTCATGCATTAGTTTGTGATAAGGTCAGTTCATGGGGAAACACTAGTGGTAGGTCAATGATATTTAGTATGCAGTTGTATAAGCATTGGCATATCTCATTTCCATGAAGATTATTTGGCCCTGCCCCTTTAGTCATGGTCTATTGACTTTGAAACTTTTGCTTAGTTCACAAGCTGGTGTTTATGTTTAGGTTTCTTTAAAGGGAATGACATGAAAAGTCAATGGTATTTGGTATGCAGTTGTATTAGCATTGGCTTATCTCATTTCCATGGAGATTGTTTAGCCCTGTACCTTTAGTCATGGTTCATTGACTTTGAATATTTGCATAACTTACATTTAAAAGTATTGTTATTTCAATTTCAACATTTGCATTATCAAAATAACAAATAGGCGAGACATATCTCTGTGTTAACAGTTTATTGGTATGTATAGTTTTGTTTTGAGTTCATAGTTCAGATTGTATTCATTATTTTTTTCCCCTGTGGCTAGATTTAATTGGTACTTTGAAAATTAATTGAAATTGACCACTTTTATTTGAAGACCTACTCTTTTAGATTTATTAATAATGGTCCATGTCTAGTCACTTCCAGAAGTTAAGAATGGAGAATCTTAAAATAAAAGAAAAAATGAAATGTATATTTTGGCTTTCAACATTGTTAAATATATATCTTTTCCGAATGTTTTCATTTTTTTTATGCCCCTGCCATAGGGAAAGGAGGCATTAAGTGTTACTCTTGACGTCCTTCTGTCCTTTTGTTGTTCCTTTTGTCCCATTTTTGTTTCCGCACTAACTTTTAAGAGTAATGCCCCTTTATCAGCTGGAAAGTTGCAAATTTGTGCAGTGAGTCACTTACTTTTCTAGAGTTATGCTCCTTTTTAAAATTTTTAAAATTGCAAAGCTTGAGCAAGGGCATTGTGTCCTCAGACACATTCTTCTTTTATTTTTTAGCTGAGTTTGATATAATTTATTATATTTTTATCAATTGTTTTGTTCGGAATAATTATACATTTTTTTATACTGTCTAAAGTATACTTCCTGAGACAGTCTTCAGAGCATTAGGTTTTGGACTCAGGTTTCCAACATTTTCCCACTACAAATTCAGTTTTTAAAGAAGTTTGACCAAGTTCACTCGTTTTAGTCGGTTGTCATGGTTGTTCCTGGCAGGAAGATTGTTGATGATAGAGATTTTGTCATTATTTGGTAATTAACTTAAAATACAGCATAGAAGCATTTCATCAATTATGATTTTTATGATTATCTTTTATGTATATATGCTTACAATTTGTATACATGGATATTGTTTTAAAAATCATTAAAATCTGGTGTCCAGACGAGCTGTCTGGGTTATCAGCAACATGAATATATTGTTAGTTTTGTTTAAGCCTAAATATTTAAGGGATTATAGAAGTTATAGTAATATTATATGAATTATAAGTCTCGTTAATGAAATTCATTATACCCCACGCAAATTTTTTGTGAAGGGTATAATGTTTTGACCCTTCGTCCGTCCGTCTGTGCGTCCATCTGTCCGTCAGTCCTGTTTCTTGTCATGGCAACTCCTCTCAAACCTCACAACAGAATTTCATGAAACCTTTTCAGATAATAAGGACATACTATGTAGATGTGCATATCGACAGGAATTTACGAATCAATTTTTTTCCCAGGAGTTACGCCCCTTTGAACTTATTTGCCCAATATACTACTGCAACCTTTGTCATCGCAACTCCTCTGAAACCACACAACAGAATTTCATGAAACTTTGTAGATAATAAGGACATACTATGTAGATGTGCATATCGACAGGAAATTACGATTCAATATTTTTTCTAGGAGTTACGCCCCTTTGAACTTATTTGCTTCAATGTACTACTGCAACAGTTTGTCATCGCAACTCCTCTGAAACCACACCACAGAATTTCATGAAACTTTGTAGATAATAAGGACATTCTATGTAGATGTGCATATCGACAGGAAATCATGATTCAATTTTTTTTCTTACACTTATTTTATTTCTCCAATGACAATGTGGGGACGTAGGGTATGTGAGCATGCTCACTAAGGTTCTTTAATTTGAGAATGTCATGGACCATAAAAGTACAGGTCAAGTTAGATTTTGATTTTTTTCACAATTACTGTTCAAGATTTGCAGCTTGCCTTTGAAAATGTTAGTTCTTTTGATTTCTGGATGATAATTATAGTACCACTTGACCCAATCCTTTGAAATTGTACATAATATCATTGATCATCGAAAAACTGTTCAAGGTCCATTTTGATGGTTTTGAGAATAACCGTTCAAGAGTTATGCCCCTTAGTTACCTTAAACATTTAACTTTCTTATTTCCAGATGATAATGAAGTAATGTTTGACAAAAGCTTTTTTGATTTTAACACTTAATTTATGAAACACAAAATACTGGTCACATTCTTTTTTAGCTCACCTGGCCCAAAGGGCCAAGTGAGCTTTTCTCATCACTTGGCGTCCTCCGTCCATCGTCTGTTAACTTTTACAAAAATCTTCTCCTCTGAAACTACTTGGCCAAATTTAACCAAACTTGGCCACAATCATCATTGGAGTATCTAGTTTAAAAAATGTGTCCGGTGACCCAGCCAACCAACCAAGATGGCCGCCATGGCTAAAAATAGAACATAGGGGTAAAATTTAGATTTTGGCTTATATCTCTGAAACCAAAGCATTTAGAGCAAATCTGACATGGAGCATAATTGTTTATCAGGTCAAGATCTATCTGCCCTGAAATTTTCAGATGAATCGGACAACCCGTTGTTGGGTTGCTTCCCCTGAATTGGTAATTTTAAGGAAATTTTGCCGTTTTTGGTTATTATCTTGAATGTTATTATAGATAGAGATAAACTGTAAACAGCAATAATGTTCAGCAAAGTACATTCTACAAATAAGTCAGCTTGACCAAAATGGTCAGTTGACCCCTTAAGGAGTTATTGCCCTTTATAGTCAATTTTTTACAATTTTCATAAATTTTGTAAATTTTTGTAAATTTTTACAAAATATTTTCCACTGTAACTACTGGGCCAAGTTTATTATAGATAGAGATAATAGTAAGGAGAAAGAATGTTCAGTAAAGTAAGATCTACAAACACATCACCATCACCAAAACACAATTTTGTCATGAATCCATCTGTGTCCTTTGTTTAATATGCACATAGACCAAGGTGAACGACACAGGCTCTTTAGAGCCTTTAGTTAATTTCGGTATTTCATTTACTGTTTTTTTTCTGCAAGCAGGTGTATCTGCTCAATTATTAGATCTTATCACTTAAATCTAGTTTGAATCTGGACGGCAAATGCCAGTAGCACTTACTTACTTACCTATATACAATTTTGAAATCTAAAATGTAAAAGTGCAACAACACTATCTACACACTTTAGATGTAGCATCGTACATATCCCCATTTATATAATTTTAAGGACAAAACAAGCAATGATTTTTTTTTTTATTCAGGAAAACATTTATTGTTATATAATATTATTATTTTATTCTCCCGGAGCTTTTTTTTCTTCCCCGGGCGCTTTTTATTTTCCCAGGGCGCTTTTTCTTTTTCCGGGCGCTTTTTAGTAGGACCGAAATATATGTTGCTTACTAAATTTCATGGAAACTTACGAAATAAAACTGATGCATCTCAAAAACTAGCATGTACATATAAATAGGTTTTTTTACGTCATGTAATTTATTTTGTATGTGCAAATACATATAAATAGTATGGTTGCTATGCCAAATCAATGTTGCTAGGTAGTTTCTAAGCAAAGTACCAGTCTGAAAATGATGCATGGACCAAAATAGCTGGTATGTATTAATAAAATGTTGTTGTCAGACACTAAATGTTACAGTTACTTGTGCAAAAACATGTGTTAAATGCCTGCAATAGCATGGTTGCTATGGAAAATATATGCTGCTTATAAGTTTTTATGTAAAATATCAATGTATAAATGATGCATCGGAAAATCTATTTAGTATGTTCGGATTATTCATTTGTGTCATGCAATTTAGGTTGTACACAATGTATGTGCAAATGCATACTTTAAATACATAAAATAGTTTGGTTGCTATGCAAAATCCATGTTGTTAGGTAGTTTCTAAGCAAAGTACCAGTCTGAAAATGATGCATATAACAAACTAGCTGGTATGTATCAATGCTATGGTGTTGTCAAACACTAAATGTAACGGTTATTTGTGCAAAAAACATGCATGAAACGCCTGCAAAAGTATGGTTGCTAAGCACAATACAATAATTTACGATGTTAAAGGAAAGAGAAAACCTTATACAGATTAAAGATGTAATGTTATTTAACATAATACACCATAAAAAAAACAGAGAAAAGTTTCTTTGACAGAAAGCAGACACAGCAAGTTTGAATTTATGAATAGGTTGCTATGCAACCATCGAGTAACGTGAACAAATAAAAGTTGATATTTTTTTTGTAGTACCTATCCAAAGGCTATAGATTGTATGAATATGAACTGGTTCTGAGAGAGCACCAAAAAATACCATTTTCATGAATTGTCCTTTCTAGAATATTTCCGGTCTGAATTTGAATCCAGACTTATACTCAAGGCAGTACACGTGCAATGACTGTTGCAATTGAAGGATTAAACTGTTAACATTTATTATACCCAGAATAGGTGGCAACTATCGAATACTACATTCAAAATGGTTTCGCCTTTTACCTATTCTGGCTTTTAGAGGTTTACAAGTAAGGTAAATGAAAATGATTAGAACAATTTCAAAATTTATGTTTTTCTAAATTAACTGTCTGGTACTTGGAAGAGACATATGAATTTTAACTTTGAAAAGAGGAATTAAGAATATTACCATAAAATATTTAATGTGAAATACCTGAACGTATAAGATGTGTGCATGCTGATTTTTATTTACGAATGATGTCCTTGTACCGATGATAAAATTTAGTAAATTTATATATGATACAGTAAATAGGTGAAATTAGGAATTACACGTAATTGCTAAACAATTCAGTAAATACCTATAATTACTAATCAATTCAGTAATTACATGTATTTACTGATTGTTTCCGAGATAAAATTGAGAATGGAAATGGGGAATGTGTCAAAGAGACAACAACCCGACCATAGAAGAACAGACAACAGCAGAAGGTCACCAACAGGTCTTCAATGCAGCGAGAAATTCCCGCAACCGGAGGCGTCTTTCAGCTTGCCCATACACAAATATATATACTAGTTCCGTGATAATGAACGCCATAATAAACTCCAAAGTGTACACAAGAAACTAAAATTAAAAATAATACAAGACTAACTTGTGGTACTGTGGATTCATTAATTGGGTACCAATTTTCGTGGATTGCAGAAAACTAGCTTTCTATGTGAATAAGTTAAATATACTTGCCTGATACAAGTAAAGGCAAGTATATTGAACTAAAATATTTACAAAAATATCTTCCTGATATTCCAAAATATCCATTTTCGTGGGTATTTGAATTCGTGGTTGTAAAACATTCTGCATGCATTTCTTTTTATTCCCATTTTACACAGGATCAGCTTTCATACAACAATCAATATATGAAAGGCTGATAAAACCCATTTTATACAGGATCAGCCTCCATACAAAAACCGTTAACAAAGCACAGGCTGATAAATCCAATTTTATACAAGATCAGCCTTCATAATAACCATGAACAAGCACAGGCTGATAAATCCCATTTTATACAAGATCAGCCTTCATGATAACCATTAACAAAGCACAGGCTGATAAATCCCATTTTCTACAAGATCAGCCTTCATAATAACCATTAACAAGTACAGGCTGATAAATCCCATTTTATACAAGATCAGCCTTCATAACACCCATTAACAAAGCACAGGCTGATAAATCCCATTTTATACAAGATCAGCCTTCATAATAACCATTAACAAGTACAGGCTGATAAATCCCATTTTATACAAGATCAGCCTTCATAACACCCATTAACAAAGCACAGGCTGATAAATCCCATTTTATACAAGATCAGCCTTCATAATAACCATTAACAAGTACAGGCTGATAAATCCCATTTTATACAAGATCAGCCTTCATAACAACCATTAACAAAGCACAGGCTGATAAATCCAATTTTATACAGGATCAGCCTTCATAACAACCATTAACAAAGCACAGGCTGATAAATCCCATTTTATACAAGATCAGCCTTCATAATAACCATTAACAATCACAGGCTGATAAATCCCATTTTATACAAGATCAGCCTCCATACAACCATTAACAAGCACAGGCTGATAAATCCAATTTTATACAGGATCAGCCTTCATAATAACCATTAACAAGCACATGCTGATAAATCCTATTTTATACAAGATCAGCCTTCATAACAACCATTAACAAAGCACAGGCTGATAAATCCCATTTTATATAGGATCAGCCTTCATAATAACCATTAACAAGTACAGGCTGATAGGTACCCAATTTGTTTTGGATCAATCTAAATAAAACTATCAACATAGGTAAGGCTGATAAACCACCATTTTATACCGGATCAACATTTGTTCAACCGTCAAAATGAGTAAATCTTAATTGTTAAATGGTGTGAAGCAGACAAAAAAGCATTAAATTTTTAATAGAAAAAATATGACAATTACAAAACATATATATAAGTATACAAATACATCAAATAAGATACAAATGATACATATATATTTAATAGTTTAAGCTGTATAGCTTATACACTTCAAAGCTATAAACATATAGATTGTGAAAGTAGACAGCTATGTCTCCTAAAGTAAATTTGAATGACAGGAAAGTTCTTATATAAACAAGTTAAATAATGTTTATCTGGTGAAAGGAAGGCACAAAGTAGTGAATACTGATGGCAATACTCTAATCTGAAGGTAAAATATAATGAATGCGGAATATGTAGTAACGTTAAATTTCCTTTACTAAACTTATTAGACTGAAACCAAATTATACAAATTATGGAATGGCAGTAAAAAAAATCTGATAGTGTGTATAGGCAGCAGTAACTAATTTATGACAATTACAAAATACAAATAAACATTTATCAAATGAACACACAAATTATACAAATCAAATAAACGTTTTTTCACTAAACAACCAGCATGCCTAAAAAAAAACCAGCATGCCATAGAAGCAAGACTTAAAAAAAAGGAATTATGATGCTGTCTAAAATATTGAAGAACATAAGTGAATACCTAAAATATGTTACAGTAAATGTAAAAATTAAAGTCCATGAAAAGACTAAAAATACCATTTTATGCTACAATTGAAAATTGCATACTTCATATATAACATATGTAATAAGTACTGTAAAATTGGCACTTAATGATGATCCATTAAGATAATGATAATTAAGGATTTTAAAAATACACATCCATTAGTCATACCTTTCTGATTACCCATTACCAATGCTATGCTAACCTAAATAGTTGACAAAATTGATCACTCATACAATCTTTTCATTTATACTATCAGTAGTGCACATAGTACCAATTTTATATATTAAGAAATAAAAATCTTTGAGGAAAAGAATAATTATATATCTTAATTGATGTATGTTTAGATATGATAATATTCTGATAAGAATATAGAGTATCCTAGTAAAATAAATGTACTTTTGTTTCATCAGTTAACTGAATAAGCTAGTTTAAAGACTACCATGAAAATAATGTCAGTTTTTTTTTTACATGTAACCAGACTGAAACCAAGTGAATTGAACTTTTAAGCAAACAGGAAGGAAATTTAAATAAGCATAATACATGACAAAAGTGTTCAGTATATTGCAAAAATCCATTGAAAAACTACACATATGAAATATTTTTTATATATTTTAGGTATAATAAATAATATACTGTACTTATATGGGACAAAGTTCTTGTACATATTTTAACTAAGCTCACAATATCCTAGAATTCCAAGTTTTATTGTGAACCAAATTAAAGTTTACCACAGAGTCGTCTGCTCTTGACCAAGGTATTTAAACTTTTGCAAGTTTACCTGTCCCAATGAATCAATTCAATAGCTATTGTTCTCTGTGTAGTTTATTCACTTGGGACATTTAAATTTCTTCCAAGAGAAATCTATCACTCATTGAATCATTTGCCTGACCAAAAAATATCTTCTTTGTATATTGAAATACATGAATAAACTCATATAAACTGCATGTGATACAGTATTTATTCAATATCAATAATATATTTTCAATCAGTTCAATATAAAAACTGATTCAGTTATAAAAAGTTTATTTCTGAATTCTTTTTTACTACAGTTTCAAAGAATTGGCATGCATGTTTTATTTTTGTTGTTCAGTTATAAATAATATATTTACGAAGACCTTCATTTAAACATTATCATTTTCAAGTTTATATTTGTGAACACACTAAAAAAGCAAATTTTGATAGGTAAAATATTGAAATTTGATCAGAAATCAACTTTTAATTTTTAAATCAGTGTTTAAATTAAACAAATTGAAAATGAGTAATTGATATTGAATAAATACAACATCATATGCAGTTTTGTGGTTCCTTATTTGTACATGTATTTTCATCATTGACAGTTCAATTTTTGTTCCGGTAAATTAATCAGTGAGTGATAGATTTCTCTTGGAAGAAATTTAAAGGTTCAATTGAATAAACTAAACAGAGAACAATAGCTATTGTATTTGTTAGATGGGACAATAGAACTTACAAAAGTTTAAATCGACAGGTAACTTGCAGGTGAATCTGTGGAAAAGTATCATTGGGTTCGCAATAAATAGCAAACCAAAATGTACCACATAGATAATAACGATCTAGATATTATACCAAACTTACTAAAACTGTACATCACGACATCAACTTTTATCTTTACATTGATAGTTCACAAAAGTTTAATACATTTTTTTAATTATTTTCAGAAGTTGTGATCTGCCTTTGACCTTCCAATCTTCAAGATTCCCATTCTGAAAATAATATATGCTATCAAATAGAAATTAAGAAACATTATACAATTATTTATGTGTCTATCTTTTCCTGAAAGACATCTATTTTCTACTGTTTTACTTAATGAGTATTTATTTCATTTGACCTTTTTACTTTGTAAAGTGATCCTATCAAGTTGTCAGTGTGAGCATGTGTAGTATTATTTCATTTCATTTCATTTATATTGCATGTGTTTGGTGTGTGTACTGCATGATAAATGCGGGATATTCAATAAAATTTATTGACGTCTTGGTGTAAATGGCCAAGCCATATGCTACTTGCATTTTTATTTGTTGAAAAGTAAAAATTGTAGTAATTATAACTAGTGCTTTCATGATGCACTTGAAAACTAAGGTATGTGAGCAGTATGGATAATGTTATATATATATATATGAAAAACAGTACCTTGAGTAAACATTCAGCATATCCAACTACAAATACGCCACAATCATTACCATTTTGCTGCTTTTGAACCTATAAAAACAAACCTCTATTATGTAAAGAATTATGAACAGAAATGGCCATTTTGCCAAGGAAATTCAAATTTTGTGATTAGCAAAATTTAAACCCATGTTAGTGTAACATGATCTGAAAAAAAATGACATTCAAATTGTTTCAGAATATCTAAACAGAAATCAATAACCATAATTGAAATTCTGCTTAAAGCAACACTTCCTTTTAACTTTTTCAGTTATTAATGTAATACAATGAAATAGCTCTAGAATTGTACAGAATGTTTATGGTTTACAGGTCTCTGCTTGCATGTACAAGAGTGTGAATATTTGTTTCAGATTTTATAGTTGTGTATCTTTGAAAGCTCTTACATCCACTTTGTTTGATTTTTGGTAGATAGTTGTCTCATTGGCAATCATTCCACAACTCTTTATTTTTATATCGTTTGTTTAAGAAAAGTTAGAGTAAATGACTATTCATTTAGATAATAGCAAGTTGTTGTCCCTTAAGGATGTACTTAGGTGAGGTTTTGGAATTCGTGACAAATGTTCGGACTCCTTGGTGTTTTTCCATACAATACAATGTAAAATATTTTGCCCCATAACACCCATTTATTTTTTCATATAAGACTTAATAGCTCATGAAAGGTGATTTACCAAAATTTTAGAAGATTCTTGATTTCTTTGTTTTGTTTTGAGACCCAAATCATACCAATGCAAATATAAGGTAAAAGTCTGAGTCAGCCTTTTAAAGCCAATTTATTTTAAATCTCAAATATCTCGAAAAGGAGGTCCATGACCTATCAATATTTTTAGCTTATTTTTGTCCTTAACGGATGCTCTCCCAGTTTATAGTATCAATTTTAATTTCTTGATTTATTAATTTTCACCTAAACTCACCTAAGTACATCCTTAAACACCTACTATTGCTCTCATGTTTTGCTTCAATCAAAAGTGGATAACTCAGGACAACAAATTTGCTATTACCCTTATAACAAGTTAGCCAATAAGCGTATATGTAACTATTTATTTCTTCCTCTGTGATGTTTTATCCTGGGTATAATTTGTCACAAGAATTTTGCTTTATATATACTACTAGTTAATTAGTTAATTGCAGTAAATACATATAAAATAGACCAAACAAAACACTTTACCTTTGCATGACTGATTTTAACTTCCTCAAATGATTTTGCATACATTGCAGCAAAGTATCTGCAAAACAGAAAAGTATAATAAAAACTTGATCTTGATTAACATAGATTTGGATATTGTTAATTGTTGATCATTGTTTATAAAGAATTTGAACAGAATCACAGACTGGTACAAATCATAACTCTGGCAAATTATAACTTAATAATTTGGCTCTGATTTTGATGAACTCATGCTTAAACTAATATGTATTCCAACTGTTTGATTTTAAAAAGTTCTTCTCCGTAATTTTTCATTTAACTCAAAATTTATTATTTGAAAATTCATCTCTTTTCAAGATGAATTTTTGTGAAAGGATTTACTCTTGCCAGGTTATCATTCTATTATCTAATCATAAGCAAACCAAATAATACTTTGAAGATTGATATTTAAAATGCTTTTTTATTGCATTTGTAAATAAATATTTTAGATTGATACGTAAAATTATCAAATGTGCAATAGTTATGATTGTGTTGTTTATGTATAGCGGCAGGTACATTTATGACAAGATGTTTATTCTATCTCTCTGTGTTTCAAATTCCTAAGATGAATGACTGATTTGTTTCTATTCAAATTGATTTATGAGATTCAAAAATCGGTATAAAACTATTTCCTTAATGAAATTTGTTCATTTATTTTTACCTTCCAAGTGATTGTGCTGTCTTCCGATAGCAACCTCCCATTGAGCACATCATGGTTACAGTGAAAGTCTTGGGGCAAAAGGAAGCCAGAATCCAGTGTGTACTAAAACATCAATCATATAATATTAACTTTAGGTATATCTAACTTAACTAGATGAATACTTTAAAATTATCTGTTTGCCTAAATTTGAATTAATCAAATGCTAAAAATTTTCCTTTGACCTTTTTACTATTTTTATTCAAGCATCAATGGAGGAGTCTTGTTATTAAGAAATGTGCACTTGTCATTCAAAATGATAAACCTGGTCTATTCAGTGATATTTTCTTTTACAAAATCCATTCAAAAATTTAAATGAATAATAAATTAAATAAGATAATACTTTTGAATATTGAGTTATGATATCAAGATGATACATCACTAAACTAACTTGTCACATATTGGGACCAATATCAACCGTTTCTCTTCAAATGCAATTCTCCGGCTATAGGCATTCACAAGATCTATATTGCATGAGTGGAGGATCAACCTAGAACTGAAATAGATTTATTTAATTATCCACATGACAACAATATTTAGAAATAAAAGAAGAATGTGTCCATGGGATACAACTAGATGCCCCAGCTTGTAATTATACCACAAATTCAGAAATTTTTCTATTTACATGGGGAAAATTTTACTTCTAAGAAAATTTAAGATTTTTTATTTTTTTATAAAACTTTTACAGATTACATAGCGCCATGCCGTAAGATCACTTTTGTTTCAGTGAAATAGTATACTTTAAGAGGCAATCTCCTGATTTTTATAATGGTTTGAAGACAAGGTAACATGTACATAACAATGTCATTGGTATTAGCAAAAATCAACAGTTCTAAATGAAGCAAAATGTCTTATTATTTTATTTTGACAGTCAAATGATAAAATCTGAGCATCAATGTAGAACTCAAGAATTGTCTTCAGTTACTTGAGTATTCAATTCATTGTCCTTGAATTTTTGATTCAGTTTAATTGATCTGGACGAGAGGATGACATTAAAAAAAATTGTCACCCTTTCAGCCATATGATAGAGTAAATAATTACCCTGTTATTAGCCAATCATGATATGGCATTTTAACGTGAAGTTTAATAAATTTAATTGCATTGCTTGTGATAAATTTAAGTATTACCCATCATCAGGACAATTTTCTTTTGCCAAGAGCTTCCTGCTGAAGACTGGATCAAATGTGTGAATACTATCTTCTGTTGCATATGTCTCTTGATGATGTCTTTAGAATACATAATCAATATATGTTAAATCATATCAATTGTATATTTTGAAAAAAGGCTGTATTTTTATTTTTACAAGGGTATATAATATTTAATTATCAAAAACAACTTTAAGTGTTAAAGTAATCTTCCTTGTCAAAATTTTTCTAACAAACAATTTATCGCTATATTCCTTTTTTTTTTTATTTATTCAAGTAACATATACTATTGAATAATGCTGATAACAAAATCCTTTCCTAATGATGAATGCTGCATATAAGCAGTATAAGTCTTGTATAGTAATCACCTTATTGCAACATAAACAATGCTGTCATCCAACCAATGACCTTTTGACAGTCTATTTATGTCTCCCTGCCAGATTTCATGGCCATATCGCTGAAAAACTCTGTTCCAATAAAATATAATAATGACATTGTTGTTATAATAACTATATGGATTAAGTGTTTATGACTTCTATATGCACAAGATTGAAAATTTTCTTTCATTTGAGAATTAGGTAATATTACAATATCTTATACATTTGTATTCACTTTTAGCTCAGCTTATAATGAAATTGCATATCACAGCTTTGTGACGTCAAACACCCAGCCTTAATTACTTTGACCATGACATATCAGTGACGTTACAATTTTTGAACTGACGTTTATTAGTTTGACCCTAACTTATCAAGTCAAAAAAAAAAAAAAAAAAAAAAAAAACACTTCAAAAAGACGCAAATATAGCCTGATAAATCAATTATCAGGTTATCTGTATATTGAGATTGTAAAATATCAGCTTCTAGTCACAAAATGAAGGCTTTCTGATCTCGTTCACTAAGCTCACTCAACAAAAAAGCTTCTTATTGTGACTGTCAGCTAATATTTTACAATATCAATATGCAGACAACCTGCTCATCGGTATTTATCCATATATTAATAGGTGATGGAAAATACATTCAATAGCAATTAAACTACTTGATATATTATGAAATGCAGGTATTTTATTGATACACCAATGGATTTTCGTGGTATACATGGTACACATCATATATATATTTTTTGAATTCTCACACTGAATCTGATTCCATTCCTGGTAAGCATCTGACATATAGAAAATGAGTGTAACAGTTTTAAATTTGCATTTTTGATTGGATGATATTAAATGAAGTATTCTAGTATGCAAAAATTGAAGTCCGCTATAACAGACCCCAAATACAAACAATAAAACAAATGACCTTAATTAGGCATATAAGAAGAGACATCTAAAAATGATGAACAAATATAATAAACAGTACAAAAGGCAATCACTGAATTAATTCCAGGCTCCTGGCATCAGATGGGCATATATATATATTTACCTTCCTAAAGATGCAATAAATTTACCATGGGAGCCATTCATAGTCTTTTAAACATGATTGATTGATTTCAACTGACAGGATGGTTGGTTATATTTTATTTGAAGTAAGTGATTTACAGCTTTATACATATTCAATAAATAAAAAAAATGCATAGTAGTACCCTTTATTATCCTCTTCCAATGTCTGGTAATTGTCTCTGATTTTGGAACGGGTACTTGGGCCATCAGCTGTAGAATATACATAAACAGGTTGTTTATCAATCTGACAGATAATCATTTCGTGTATTATGTAGACAAATAAAAAGAAAAGTGTACAGCAATGTTAATATGGAGGAATACTTGTCTTCTAATGAAAGCATAGGAATCAACCTTCTACAAGAACAATTTAAACTCTAATAAATAAAGATTAAAAGAAATGCCATTAATGTTAATAAGTAAAATAGTACGAGTTGTCTCCCATTGGAATTGAACCAACCTACAATAAATGTATTCTCCTTCAGATGAAGACTTTTATGTACCTGTTAGTGGTTAGTTAAAAGTTATATTTCCATCACCATAGGATTAAATAAGATAAAGGAAAATGTTAATAAGTAAAATAATACAAGAGTTGTCTCCCATTGGAATTGAACCAACCTACAATAAATGTATTCTCTTTCAGATGAAGACTTTTTATGTACCTGTTAGTGGTTAGTTAAAAGTCATATTTCCATCACCATAATATTAATTAACGTAAGGAAAATGTTAATAAGTAAAATAGTACAAGAGTTGTCTCCCATTGGAATTGAACAAACCTACAATAAATGTATTCTCCTTCAGATGAAGACTTTCAGGTACCACTCCAGTTAGTAAAAATAATACTTCCATTATCAGGATTAAACAACAGCCAAAATATATATACAGCATTTATAACTGATCTCTTCATGTTCAATTTTGTTTAATTCTCCTGCAATTGATGAAAAGATGAAAATGGCAAAAACACAGAATGAAGAATGTAAGGTTTATTAAAAAAATGCATTTTGTCTATACCTGTTTAATAATATCGGAAAAAGACAGAAATTACATACCTCTCCATAGATCCTTATGGGATAAGGGGTAGAAGTTGTCCCCTTTATCATGGTAGATGTGCTGCACTTCTACCCCTTGAGCACAAGGACAGGCACACAAGTAGTCATTGACCCCCTCTTCATGGTATATCACCAGCTCTTTCATTAAGTATCCTGCAGTAAACATTAATGCTGCAGGACCTATAAGGAAACAATAATTTCTTATATTTATGACTTATGTAAATGTTAGAGACAACTGCAAGGAGCACAAATAATTCCTATTTAGTAATGACAATCAATTGTCTAACTGACAAACATTTTATTACATATATAGACTGCAGCCTTTTGTTGTCCTTTCCCCTAACCCTTATAATAAATATATGTCAGTACTTTATTCTATGACCCCAGAGACTTCAACTCCATCTTTGCAAAATTTGTGTTAACCGCTCAACATTTGTATGCAGAACATATAAAAATGTAGAAATCATAAATAGTCTCACTTTATTTTTAAAAAATACAAATGTGCTATGTTGTGGATCAGATACATACTATACTTTTCCTTTGACATTAATATTTTTGAAGAAAAAAACCAAATCATATTTTTGTAAAGTAAGATACCCATTTTTTCATCTGTTAATAGGTTTTTGGCCTCCTCAATTAACAGGTCTCTGACCGTCCTGCTTTGGCTTCTGTTGTTTAGGGCCTTTTTGATGTTATCCATGTCAACTTTATGATACTACAACAAGCCACAATTCACAATTACTTTCATGGAGTTAAAAAGTTCTTTGAGCATTTTCAATAAGTTGCCATTGATTTTCCCCCAATTGTTCATATGCAAATGATGATAAACTTAAAAAAAGAGCCCAACTTTACAGGTTAATACCAATGTTATTTAGTTTTAAAATCCTTACTGATTACTTCAACTGAAATGATGAGGAATTTATCTCACAAAAATAAAGAACTCTAAAATTAAGACAAACCTGCTGTACATAATGGTCCAAGTGGGATTTTGCAAAAATGTAAACAGCAATTTTAGCAAAATCCGGAAATATATTTAGGAGGTAGAAAACACTCATTCCGCCTTCTCCTGGCACCAAAATATCCGGTCCATTATATGTCCTTGCATTTTAGAAGATAAGAAAATATTAGCAGTAGTAAGACAAGTGCATGAAACAGGTATATAAAATGCAAATTCTCCTTTGAAAATATATTTCAGAAATAACAAGTATTTTTTACAGACAGATAAAATTTGCTAACCTAACTGTTGCATATTTGAACACATTCAGATATAGAAGTGTGTACTTTATCAAATTAAAGTCCTATGAAACAAGTGATTGGTGAAAAATAATGTTTATCCAATTCTTGAACCAATGAATGTATATATCATAAACTTAGTCTTCTGTGGAAGATTTTATCATTTTTTTCACAACTATATCGTATAATCGTCATTTTTTTTCTCTCTGTCTGTTATGATTTAACAAATATGGCAGCTCATTAAATGCCGTGTTTTGATTCCAAAGTTTACTGATTGTCACCTTATAGTAAACAATCAACCAAAAAGGCATGGATATTGAGCACGTGTTTAACATGTACAATCAGATAATAGTTTATTTCAGTGACAGACCCATGCCTGTTGTGTGTACAAATTAAATAATTTTCTTCAGAAAAAAGTATATGTACATAAGTTTAATAATGAAAACTATCCATTTTGTTATAAAAAAACATATGCATAATTTTTTTTTAATTTGAGGTTTCATATGATTTTAAAAATGTATTGTTGCAATTCTTTTGGAAAAATATAAAACATGATGTTTGTCATCTATTTATCAAATCAGATGTTGGTTTTCTCTTTAAAGGGTATTTGCCGTCAATTGTTTTTATGACACAAGCATATTTTATGAAATGCATCAATATGGATGTGCTAAGTATAACCAAAAAAATGATAATATAATATTATGGTGTAAACTTCGTAACAGGCTTTGTTAAAAAAAAAAAACAGGAAAAATATATGCTTTTTTTTGGTCATCATGAACCTTTTAAATTATTCTGGTTCAGAAATTGAGGTAAATATTGAGGTAAAATATAAAAAGGGCAATACCTCAATGGTCTTTTTCTAGGCTTGAACTGTATTTCACCGCTCAACAGGCTGCAGCTTTCCAAATAGCTCAAATCTGTGTTGAAGTTTTGGGAAATGATGTGTCCAATGATATCTGTAGCATTTCTCTATAGAAACAAATTTAAAGTTTATTTTAATATTTCATTAAGATATTATAATGTTGATGTTATATGATGAATGCAGTGTCATACAAACAACCTTTCCCCACTAGAAGAAAAATGATATGACACAAAATATATTCATAAAATGTATTAAGCAGTTGTTTGTATGACAATGCATTCATCATATAAACAACTGCTTAACACATTTTACAAATATATTTTATGTCATATCATTTTTCTTCTAGAGGAGAAAGGGTTTAATTTTGAAAAAAAAATCATACTCCTGAGATGTTTTATTTTAAGATAACAAAAAACTTTATATACTCCTTAAACCTTTTCAAATAATTCCTTTATTAGATAACTGCTGGTGCCCTTTTTAAAAAAATCAATAGGAATGAATTATACCATAATAAGTAAAAAAAAATGCACTCTTATTAGGACAAGGACTGAAACAGACATCATAAACATGCTTTATGTTTTAAAGACCGCACATACAAGTTGTTATGTTTGTCGGACATATTTGTCTACATGCTGGCCACAGTGCTTTAATATATTTAACCTTGTCAATTGCTTTAGCCAATGGAGAGATCTGTTTTTCTGCTGTCTACAAAACATAAAAAAGATATGTCTCAATAATAATGGTTTATAATGTAAATAAAAACAATTATTTAAGCTAGTTTTTTTTTCATATTATCTTTTTTCAATTTTTCCAATGACAAATATCATTTTCATCTGCAGTTTTATTTCTGTATATTTGTATTGAATAATCATGGCTGATTGTCCATATCCAAAGTCAGTAATGAAATCAATTAGAATGTGCTTAAGTCAGTTTTTTTTTCATCACCAACTGTATTATCAAGGAATTTGAAACTAAGTCTGATGTTCAATTCTTACGGTTGTGTAATGTTTCAAAACTAACCTTCTATACCTAAAATTAATGCAAATAGATAGTTGAATCTGTTATTGATATATAATCAAACTTATTATTTTTTTCCTGAACAGATTCTTACATTACGCTGTACTTTTGATGCACTCTCTGCCTCTACAGTTTCTGCCTCTACAGTCTCTGCCTCTACAGTTTCTGCCTCTAGAGTTTCTGCCTCTACAGTTTCTGCCTCTACAGTTTCTGCCTCTACAGTCTCTGCCTCTACAGTTTCTGCCTCTACAGTTTCTGCCTCTATTTCTTCATTTTCAACCTACAGATTTCATAAAAATAGTATCCTTTAGATTTCTTTGAAAAAGAATATATACAGAATAAATAGTATAAAATATTTGAAAGCTGGAACTGTCGACTGATGATACCTGAAATGAACTGCTTTTTTTCCCCAAAAGAAATCTACAGGTTGTTTGCTTGAAGGAACAAATAATCATTTGTACATTTTAAGTACTATAAATTTAAACAGTTTATTTTCAGTACTGTATAATTATAGTACAATGAAATACACATAAAAAAGTAGATGTGTACACCACGCCAACGCAGTGTAACTAGACTAACCAAATCTCACCAGATTCCTAAGTTCAATGACTAACAACTCTACAAAAGTGAACTGATAAAAATCATCTTGTGGATATGCACATTTACATAGTATGTCCTCATTAACTACCAAGTGTCATGGAATTCTGTTGTGTGGTTTCAGAGGAGTTTCGATGACAAGAACAGCACTGACAGACTGTCAGATGGAGAGACAGATAGACAGACGGGTCTAAAACATTGTACCTTCTGCCTGGGGTAAATAATTATTATTAATCTCAATTTTTAATTGAAAGCTATGAATTTCAAAAATAATTTCTTACTTTATCTTGGGCATTTTCTTCATCCTTCGCTAGGAACTGCTCTTTTTTATTATCTTTTTCTTCTTCAACTCCTGTTTTAATCTAATCATATTGGCATTGATAAAATAAAATTGGAGTGATTCTCAATCTGCAGAAACTTTTTAGATTCATTATACATCTTAATTGAGATATATTCTCTTCTATTTAATATATCTCTGATGTTATGGTACTCCATATTCTTGGTCATATTGATCATTTTGTGTAAAATTAATTTTCATTTTTTTTTAAATAGATGTATCTGTAATGTTTTTTCTGACTGTAAGTGATCCTTTTTCTGTTTGGTTTTGTTTAATATACTTATATGCTTCTTCTTTTCAATCTGATATTAATAATGTTTTTTTGGAAAACATATAATAAAAAATGAAGAAATTTTAGAATAATACAGACAATTGAAGACACATACCATAAAATATTTGGACAATACATTATGCGTTTGACATTTGTGTTGTAGCAAAGCAAAGTGAAAATAAAGCTAAGTGAAAGAAAAAAATGTGATTAGACAGATAGAATGGTGGCAGATCACAGTTACATTCAAAATTAGCAGAGAAATTGACAAAGCCATTAACAAAAGTGAAAATCAGACAGCAGTACACAAAATACAGATTAAAAAATATAGAGGTGAAAAGGAAACCACCAATTACCTAGGATAACCTCACATGGTAATTAGGAGGTTAATTTAAAGTCGACATGAATATGGATTCAATGAGGTTAAATTATTGACTTGCAAGTCAATAATTCATCAGTGATGTACAATGTATTTGATTTTATTTTGACCAATTTTGATCACACAAACTGCTTATAACGAATCATTAATTAAAAATTAATCACAAATAATTTCATTATTACTTAAAGCAAAAGAACTGTTTTTATTTTTTTTGTCTAAATCATATTTTATTATAGTTTCTCAATTATCTTGTGTCATAAATGTCCAATGTTAATATTAGGTTTTAAATTTTCATGAAGTTAATTAAGTAATAATGTATGCAATTTCAATATAAAGAATAAAAATACCCTTGAATGTCCTCATGTAAAATGGTCATAAAAAATAATGTAGTGACTGAGGTACTGGAATCATAGCCTAGACAAGGAGTGATGAGAGATTAAAACTATTCTACAATTATGTACGCATGTCCAATATACAAAGAGAAAATATCAATTTAAAGTTCTAACAGTGTTGTGCAGATGTTTATATTTTGTCATGCAAGCAGAGAGGAAAGCATATACTACGAATATCTTCTTACCTATTCATTTCTGTAAATAACAATAAGAAAAACTCAAAAAGACTGTTAAAAGTATCATAGAGCGATTTAGACACTTTACACTGGTTTGTTGATGCTATCTTGCTGATTTGTTTTTACATTCTAGAGGGAAGAAGTTTTAGATATACAATTATACAGTGTCATATGACAAATGGTAATGTATCCTAAAACTATTCATCAACCTTTACTCTGTCACAGCTATGAAGATTATGTCATGGTGTCTGTTGGTGCATCTGAAATTTAGACTATTATAAACCAATTATTTTTGCTATTTACCTTACACTATCTAAATGTCAAATACCTTTAAAATGTCATATGTCTCTGGTACATTTATTGGGGTGAATCCTGCTTGTACTCCCTGGAAGAAATAGGATAAAAGGTGTAATGGTGTTTTGTTATAATTGAGCAATTTTATATGAATTTGATTAAATATACTTACCATGAAATTACATTTATTATATGGAATATGGTTGCTTTCACAACATGTTCTCATCGCAATTAACTTTAATAGGTGAATAAAAATTACATCCATAAGATGTACTCACTGAAGTCATGATAATATAATCTAAATGTAATTTCACGATAAGTATATCTAACCATATAAATTCATATAAAATCTCCTCTTGAGATTTTAAAAATAACCATTTTAGACAGTTATTTATAAAAACTAAATATTAAGGTTTAACAACACTTTTTTTCTTGGATTTATCTTCATGCTAGTTCAGCAGAATTGGAACCACCATGTGTAGATGTGCAGTTGTAACGGGTGATTTCTTTCTTGTGATATATTATCCTGGGGATAATTTGTCACAGTAATTTTTTTCAAGACATGGTATTTCACAGGTCCATTTTTCCATAGGTAGAACAAATTTGCACAATTTATCAATCAAAGGGAGGTAATTATGAGCAATTTATATTTTAAAGATATTAATATTATATTCGTGAATCTATTTGACAAAGATTTTTTCTTGAATCTTATTTTTTATATTAATGCATATAAAAAGATGACTTTAATCATGATTTAGTAATAAGACAGAAAATATTTCACAGTTAAATGCTATCCAGCTGTTTTAATTGTGTTTGTTCCTATATATTGTTATGCTATGATTCATCTGATTTCCACATAATCATTAACTACATCTCTGTCCCCAGACCCTTGCTTTTTATAATTTACCTAAATGATATTGAGATAACAGTTTTTTCTCAATGCAGACTTTCTACCTTTACTTTTTATATTTGAATTGAGATTTGAAAACAACTCACTTGTACCTGTTTTTCACTTACATTGACTTACCTGATCGTACAATTTTGCCTAACCGGTTACTCGGCTTATCGTTCGACCGATTAACCGGTTAACCGGTAGTGTTTGTTGATGGTTGAAGGCCTTATCTATAGTATCCTACACATGGATATAAGAAGATGTGGTATGACTGTCAATGTGACAACCTTCCATACAAGTTATAATACATTTCATTTTGATAATACAATGAATTGAAGTTTGTCAGTTGGTTTTATAAGGCTTGTCTGTGAAGATTCCTGGCGAGGTTTGACTTTTATAATCAAATACACTGTATCAACTACGGCGTTTGTACTAACTTCAGATTGAAAAATAAAAAAAAATTCTTGATCTCGTAGATTTTAATATGTCTGAAACCAATGATTCTATACAACTCATAGCAAAATATTTTCCTCCAGAATAAAAAGGTAACAACAACTACTTTGACATTTTTTCCACTGGATCAAATTTCACCCAGATATTATTTTGCTTTACACAGTTAGGGTTTGAAATTTTTAGAATGGCAGACTTTATTGTCCTTAACATGTAAACAAGACAAATATATAAAATATCAAAATATTCAAAATGAAAGAAACTTTACACAACATTAACAACACATCTGGAGATTTGTTGTTCAGATTTTAATTTTCAAAAGGCTGTGATTTCTTGGCAACCAGGTTTTCTGGCAATGTGGAAACAGGTTGATATCATTTATTGCTGGCAATGGTAATTATAGATTAATTTGTTTTTTCCAGATGCTTTATAAATGTTTATTTTTTTAAACAAGAAGCTTACTTTTTAAATATCTTAAAATTAGGGATGTTAAAATATATGAAATTTAATACTCAGGTACTCTGTCATGATACTTTCAAGTACTCAAGTACTCAGATAAATCTTTAACGTCCAGTGAAAAGTTTCGAATTTCGTTGGAATTTTCCATTTCAGAAACTTAATATTGATATGATGAAAGACATATGTATTGTTGCAGAACTCCAACTAAATGACTACAAAAATATAATGTGATCATTGGTTATATGTATAGCTAGCCCTTTTTTTAATGTCAAAAGAACAATGAATAACGCACCACTGTCTCTAAAAAGTAACATAATGATAGCAGTAATTGTTTGTGTGTTCTTGAACTAAATCAGAAACATGCCATATGATCATAAAGTCTGACTTCATAGACAATTCATATTAGCTGTTTCTATAGAATTAAGCATTTCATCTCTTCTTGATATTCAAAAATATCCATTTTATATTAGGACTTGTAACATCATTTGTCACCAAAATATTTGACTTCAAATTTCTTATTTGAAACGACATCTAATTATATAAACTAAACAGCAATAAAGTTTTATATAAACATTTATGACATGAAATGTTTACAAAGAAGTCTTGATTAACGAACAAAGACAAGTAGTAATTATATAAAAAAAAAATACTAAGTTTACAACTTCTTAGTTAATTATTCACGAAAGTGTTAATCTGTGTACAAACACTGTTATAAATGTCTCTTATCAGTTGCAGTAGGTTTTATGACAGGGCATTTTGATTTTAGTTTTGTCCAGAAATATGATATTAACCACAACTTTGGATGAAAGATGTTTCTAAATTTTGTTAAAAGTCCTGCACATGAAAAAATGCTATTGGAAGCTACTGGTTATGCTGGTATTTCTAAAACATGTTTTGTAGTTATGAATAAACCTAGCTGAGTCTTAGTTACTAGTATAACACACAGCAGTAGGGATAAACGAATTCACATTGTGAATATATACTATTTTTATCAGTATTACAAAGGATATTTCAAAGGGAACTAAAGTCCGGGGAAATATTTCAAGATTTATTAAAGGCAAATGAGTATCCAAATACTAAAATTGTACTCGCGTACTCTACCTTCCGCGCAAGCACTTGAGTACTCCCGTACTCGTTGCCATCTTAAAATACTTCAAAATATTATAATTTTGCTACGTGACATTAAGTTTTGTATATGTAAGATAAGATACAGTTTTTAAAATTTGAGAGTAAATGATATGAACAGACAACCAGCTAATGTTCAGTTCTGAATATAGAACTTGTTTTGTCTTTAGTCAAATTTTTGTGACAAATTCCACATTTACATTCTCTAGTCTATGTATTAGCTTCTTGCACACAATTTCTATGGTTAATTTTTAAACTTCAATTTAACATTTGCAATATAATCATGACGGTTGTTTATTTGTTAAATGTGCAGGGATGAACCCTAAATTGAATTGCCATTTCACAATGAGTGAAAAAAATTTGCCTACACATTGCTGTTTTAACAATTTCACAAAGCACTGTGAATAAGGAACTTTTACAGATGTACGTGATATAGAAATGGCAAAACATGTTGCACCAAAAACACCCTTTACCTTTATTTATTATGCAACATGAATGTAATTCACATATTTACCTCAATACAGTATTCTTTGAAGGAATCCAGGCACTTCACCATCATGTCACATGTTATGATTCTTCCAGATCCATCACCTTTATT